AATTATTTCTCTCGACGATATTTAATAGAAATTTTAGTTATTATGGTGAAAAGAGCAGAGCCAAACTGCAAAAACGATTCACGGAAGCAAAATAAGAAGAACTGATATTTCTTTTCATCGGTTTGAAATATTTCGATAAGAAAACACTGATTTTAACAAAATTACATAAGGCGTCACAACACGTGCCCCGCACTTCACGCTTCGGGTTTTGCCCGAATTAGAGCTAGTGTTGTGCCACGTTGCACTCCAATATTTTTTTAATAACATGATTTCTTTCGTTATAATTATAGTTTAGAAATAAAGAACTTTTACGTGGTGGAGCTATGCTGCAGCTGTATTAGTAGTATAGTTGTAGCACGAATGGGTCGGCTCGACCGGGGAAGGACCACGCTCTCACAGAATACCAGCGTAAAATAGCAGCTTAACGCTGCTGTGTTTCGTATGGTGAGTGTAGAGAACCTGAGATCCCTTTTTACTGGAAACGAGGCATTCCATCTTAGTCCTCACGGGTGACAACGCATCTGCATTTTGATTCGTAATCGAAGATAGATGTAGATGTCTATGGGCCACAGCAATCACTTACCATCAGGTGGACTGTATGCTCGTATGTCACCCTTAACCTATAAAAAAAGATCCCTTGTATTCCTAACCCATAGATACCTTCATCCCATTTCGTATCACCCGGATCATAAAACAGTAAAATAAATAAATAATATATAGGATTATAAATAAATAAATAATATATACGCCGTGTAGTGGCGGTTAAGAATATCCACTACCCCATATCTTCCCGTGGGTGTCGTAAAAGGCGACAAAGGGAAACAGGCAGGAGATGGGCAGCAGCATCTTTCTGATAATAGCCAAAATAACAATAAAAAAAAAACTGCGGTTGCCAACCCGCTCGCCAAGCGTGGCAACTATGGCAATATACCCCCCATGAGCAATGACAATAATAAACGGCCCCCAGTCCCCGGCGGCCCCGCTATTCCTGGCTACGGTGGCGACCATGGTAACAGCGGGGCAGGGGGGTGCTAAGAATCTCCGGTGGAGGTTCGGTTGCCACCTACGACGACTCGACCTGGCAACATACAACGCACGCACCCTGAGGACTGACGAGAAGATTGTGGAGCTGGAAGAAGAGATAGGCAAGTTACGCTGGCATATTATAGGATTATCCGAAGTCTGAAGAGAGGGGGAGGACACGATAATCCTCGAATCCGGCAACTTGCTCTATTACCGGGAGGGCGACCATCTGTCCCAAGGAGGTGTCGGATTTATCGTCCACAAGTCTCTCGTTAACAACGTTGTAAAGATTGAGAGTGTGTCGACGAGGGTTGCGTACCTTATACTCAGAATCCGCTGAAGGTCATACAGGTTTACGCACCAACCTCGGCACACCCCGATCAGGAGGTGGAGGAAATGTATGAGGATATCTCTAGAGCCATGCATTCCTCCAAAACCCAATATACGGTGTTAATGGGAGACTTCAATGCAAAACTAGGCACAAGAGAGAACGGTGAGCTGAAAGTAGGGAAATTTGGAATAGGGCAACGGAACCCAAGGGGCCAGCAGTTGGCTGACTTCATGGAGAAAGAGCGACTCTTTATGATGAACTCTTTCTTCCAGAAGCGGCCCCACAGGAAGTGGACCTGGTCGAGCCCCGACGGTTCGACAAAAAATGAGATTGACTTCATTATGACGACCAGACGACAACTGTTCAGTGATGTCTCAGTGATCGCGAGGGTGAAAACTGGCAGCGATCACCGAATGGTTAGAGGCACACTGAACCTAAACGTTAAGTTGGAGAGGTCTCGTCTAATGAAGTCAACGCTCCGTCCCCCTCGTGCTCTAATCCAAAGTCCCGAAACCTTTCAGCTCGAGTTACAAAACCGTTTTCAGTGCCTAGAAGACTGCAATGAAGTGGACGATTTGAATGACAAGCTCGTGGAAACTGTCCATGCGGTCGGAGCTAAGTTCTGCAAGACCCGCCGCAGAAGAACACAAAAACTCTCCGATCACACTCTTAATCTCATGGCTGTTAGACGGGAGATGAAGCTACATTCTTCAACAGATTTAACAGCATACAGGCAACTGAACAGACAGATCTCCAAATGCATGCGGCGGGACTTACGCAAATTCAATACAGCTCGTATTGAAGAAGCGATCGAGCGGAACCAAGGCTCCAAAGTCTTTGCCAGAGATCTGTCTGCCAGAAAGAGCCAACTGTCAAAGCTGAAGACAGAATGTGACAGCATCGTTTCCGGGGCACCTGAGATTTTGAGTGAGATTGAGAGGTTCTATGGGCAGCTGTACACGTCATCGTTGGAGCCGCACGCAAGTGTGAGTAACGATCCAAGAGCGAGTCTTATCCGACATTATTCCGATGATATCCCGGACGTCAGTCTGAGCGAGATTAGAATGGCTCTCCAGCACCTTAAAAACGGCAAGGCCCCAGGCGAGGAAGGAATTACAGCGGAGCTTCTGAAAGCGGGTGGAAAACCGGTACTTGAAGTCCTTCAGAAGCTCTTTAATTCCGTCCTCCATGGTGGCATTACACCGGAGGCGTGGAGCAGAAGTGCGGTGATCTTGTTCTTCAAGAAAAGCGACAACGCTCTCTTGAAGAACTACAGACCGATTTCCCTTCTGAGCCGCGTCTACGTGCTGTTTTCGAGAGTCATTACGAATCGTCTCGCGCGCAGACTTGACGACTTCCAGCCTCCCGAACAAGCCGGTTTCCGAAAAGGCTTTAGCACCATAGACCACATACATACCCTTCGGCAAATTGTACAGAAGTCCGAAGAGTACAATTTGCCACTATGTCTGGCGTATGTGGACTATGAGAAAGCCTTTGATTCCGTCGAAATTTGGGCGGTGCTGCAGTCCCTTCAGCGATGCCAAGTTGACTGTCGGTATATCGAAGTGTTGAAGTGCTTGTACAGTAGGGCTACGATGGCTATCCGAGTACAGAACCAGAGTACGAAACCTATCCAATTGCAGAGAGGTGTAAGACAGGGTGACGTCATATCCCCGAAACTCTTTACCGCTGTATTGGAAGATGTTTTCAAGCTTATGGACTGGAAAGGATACGGTATCAACATCAATGGCGAGTACATCACTCACCTTCGATTTGCCGACGATATAGTCCTTATGGCAGAATCGCTGGAGGACCTAAGCACTATGCTCAATGACCTCAATAGTGTTTCCCAACGGATAGGTCTTAAGATGAACATGGACAAAACAAAGATCATGTTTAATGTCCATGTCACACCTATGCCGGTAGTTATTGGAAACACTAAGCTCGAAGTTGTTGACGAGTATGTTTACCTGGGACAAATAGTCCGACTAGGTAAGTCCAACTTCGACCGAGAGGTCGATCGACGGATTCAACTCGGTTGGGCAGCGTTCGGGAAATTACGGCACATCTTCTCGTCAGGTATACCTCAAAACTTGAAAACGAGACTGTACACCCAGTGCGTGTTGCCAGTGATGACATACGGAACTGAGACGTGGTCCTTCACTGCTGGCCGGATGAGGAAGCTCAAGGTCGCTCAGCGAGCTATGGAGAGGGCTATGCTCGGAGTTTCTCTGCGTGATAGACTCAGAAATGAGGATATCCGCAGTAGAACTAGAGTGACCGACATAGCCCAACGGATTAGTAAGCTGAAGTGGCAATGGGCCGGCCATATAGCTCGAAGAACCGACAACCGATGGGGAAGAAAGGTTCTCGAGTGGCAGCCTCGTACCGGCAGGCTAAGTGTAGGGCGTCCCCCCTCTAGATAGAGTGACGACCTGGTAAGATATGCAGGAAGTCGATGGATGCAGGTGGCTCAGGACCGTGCTTTGTGGCATTCTTTGGGGGAGGCCTATGTTCAGCAGTGGACTTGTGAAGGGCTGTAATGATGATGATGATGATATAGGATTATAACAAAGTATAATGTGGTTAAATACTTATCTAATTTCAGTTTTCCGAAAAGCCGTAAATTAACAAATAAGTGGGTGACAGCGATAAAGACCCAACTGGGAGCCCAACATTAGGACTTAGAAGATCTGTATGTTACTTGCTATGATATGACAGACTCGCAGTTTATAGTTGATTGTCGAAATGGTTTGGCGTTACCTGAGACTCTTCTATCTAAGCCATCAAAACAAGTTTTGCTACACTTTTACGACACTTGCTTGTGAGGAATGCCAAGGTGCACTCGTATCAGATGAAATCATTTTCATAAATTTATTATAATGAAAGATAGAGGTGGTCTCATATATCCATCAAATGACGTAATAGACATTAGTATAAAATCGGAAACAATAATTTAAAAAAAATATATTTCAAAAAGAATGGCAATATTATGACTCTAGTTTATATAATGAGACCTTGAAGAAAAGAAATTTTTACATGTGTTAATGAACACCTATTTCATCAATTGCCATGCAGCAACCATTTGGATCATTTATTGCGTGCTGTTATTCAACAATATAATATTGATATTAAAATAAAATATCTTGATCGCTAACAAAAAGACAGCCACATAGTAAATGGAACCTTTTTAAGTGGCAGTGAGATTTTTGTGTTTATTTAATAATCATCGTTTTATTATTCGTTTTTTTATTGACTTGCGAAACCGACCATATATTTACTTACCTATCCAATATTTACTAAATACTTACCTATTACTTTAACTAATTATGAACACAAGCGTCAATCATGGCGCATCACCATCCGCTTCATCTATGTATCAGTATCTATAGAACACCTGTTTACACTTGGCAGAATACACTGAGCGCTACGCGCCACATCAGCCACTTACCATCAGGTGGACTGTGCGCTCGTTTGTCACCCTAATTCAATGAAAATAATATTAATAAACATAAAAAATCAATAAAACAACTAAAGACTTTCTTGTCAACATTTTAATAACTCTGATCGTCTAAAAATAAACAACATATTTAGATAGATACAAAATGAGCAAATATACACTATTTACAATATTATGTATCTAATATCATCTGGTCCGATCGGTAGTAGTGACATTTTTTCTTAACATCGAAATATCTATTTTCCAAGCACCTGCAAGTGCTTCTATTGAATTTAGTAGTAACTTCTGTTTCGTGTTAATTTCTTTGAGATCATTTGTATGTAGGAGACTCAGGTACAGTGAGACATGATTTAGATGTTGCAATCTTTTTAAAAAGGAGTCTTTGAGCTCCCTCACGTCTGTTTGACGCCAATATTTTAAGTTCCTGCCAATTACTGTGGTAATATGTTCCTTTATGTCTTTTAGACACGCTCTCCTCTCCACATTTGCCTGAAATAAGAAAATGTATATTAATTCAATTCCAATGCTTATATGGAATAATAATTTATTGAGCAATAAAGTAGTATTCAAATATAGGAAGATAAAGATATTTGTAATAATAAGATATAAATTTTTGATTAAGAAACTCTCAACTACTTTCCCAGTTTAATTTAAACGAAAGTTTTTGATGAAGAAGATGAAAATGAACGTATTCAATATTGAATTCCGAACTCTAACATGAAAAGAAAATGTATATTTATATTTTTTAAATATAAAATCTTTTTTGATAATTATACAGTGAATATGTGAAGTCTGTGATTGCTGAACTACGAATTATACCTGTATCTCAGCAATCAGCGCCCTCTCACAATTTTGTCACCTAATAAATTAACAATAAAGTTTCTAAATAAAAATAATGTTTCAAACAGAACAGACTACTTGATGTGTGAACTAAGTGTGAGACGAGTGCATAAGCGTGCGTGCGTGCGTGCGTGCGTGCGTGCGTGCGTGCATGCGTGCGTGCGTGTGTAAATATGTATATGAAAATAACGACAAACACTTCCCAAGATGATAGTAAAACACGTATCTATATGAATTAATCAAAAATAATATATAAAAACTAGATAAATGTACATCTAGCGGATTGCGTTATAACATTAAACAAGTCGTTCCTTTCTTTATAATTTAATGATAAAAATTATGAAGAAACAGAGGAGTATGGTAATGATGTCAAATTCTACAGCATTTGATGAGGCATCAGATTCGACTAGACAAGGATACGCTGTTTCCCTAAATCCCTATGCTGTTGTCATCAATTAAGATGTCTATAGCTAGAGTAGCCATGTAGTGGCGGTGTAAGAGAATTCAACACCACTACATGGCAATGATGATGGTGGTGGTGATTGCGGTGATGATAATGGTGGTAAGAAGGTGATGATGATGATGATGACGAGAGCAAGAGTAGAGAAAATTATTATATTAATCCCAAAGTATTCGCATATTTTATTATATATTCTTTCATGACGAATGAGATATTAAGCAAAATAAATCGTGACCAGGGAGAATAACGGTAAACCACATTTTGAGCAAACTACATACACTACGTCCCATACGTTCTGAATTTGAGAAAATGATGATATAGATAAAAAATTCAATAAAAAAAATTATGATCGTGGTTTTAATTCGTTCGTAATATTATATTACATATTGTGTCTTATTACTACTGTCCTAGTCATCATTATATAGATGACGTTTTATTTAATCATTACTTGCGAAAAAAGAGTTATCGAAATTGGTTGGTTTGGTTGAATTCCTATGTAAAGATTTGGTACAATATGCGTAATATCTTAATATTTTAAGTGAGTAATTCTATATGGGTACTTAAATGACACACAGTATATTTATTGCGTGTATATATATATTTAGAAGCCTGGTAGCCGCATAATAGAATCCATAACGCCATAATATCACCCCGCCAGTATCATAAGAGGTGCAAGAGGGAAACTAAAACATGATATGTGCAGCAGCGTATTCCAGATAACAATTCAAAATAAACAAAACACTGCGGTTGCTCTTGCGTGCGTGTTAACTATGGCAAATGCCCTCCTATGATATAAGCTATGGGGGGCACCAATGTTCAGTATATTTGGGTAGGCTGTAAAGTATTAATCAATATTTATAGTGGCGTTTTGGCGGGAACTTCAATGCCGGCGGATGGCTGCTTTTTGTATTTATTGTTTAAATAATGCTTTGAATGAATTAAAAGTGTTGCGATTTTGTGTACTAAATGTATGGACTATTAAAGGAAACGATGAAACAAGTGATCGAATGGTGATATGAACCTAAAGATAATGTGTCTGCTTAGATGCTTTGACATACTATCATCATTAACTATCTGTTGGCTTAAGCTGCCGTCAATATCACCCAAAAACTTCGCAACATTTTGTGAAGAAGTGTACCAATACCGTTACCAGCCTATTAAAGTCCACTGATGAACATTAGTGTTGCCCAAAATCGGTCTTGGTCTTGCAGTCTTGGTCTTGTTCTTGCAAGACCAAGAACATGACCGCCTCTTTTTAGCAAGACCAAGACTGACCGTGCAAGATTTGAGCAAGAACAAGACTAAGCTTGCGAGACTCTTGCGTCTTGCAGTTAGGACTAAGTGTCGTTTCAGGGAGTATAGGAGTTCGGGTATACGCTTAGGGACTCTATGAGATGCAAAAAAATATAATTAAAAAAAATTGGAAAATTTGGACTTATGCGCATTACGAACAATACCATAAATATACATAGCGAATGAAAATATCCATTAAAAGAAAAAAGAGTGCATCCCTAGTTTTGACCATCGGCACTTTGATAGTGCGCGGTGTCTTGTTGTCGGCGTCATCAAAGGTCGGATACTGACCTGTCAAAGAAATTGTGCAGCTATTTGAAAGTACAAGGATATCGCATACAATCGTCGCCGCCGCGCCACACGCACTACATTTGACACTGTTTGATTGCCGCCACAGAGTACATGTTTCAAAGAATAAAATAAGTTTCCGGGTGCTCAGAATGGACACGAATACATTATCCTGATCTCGCAAGAAATATTGTAATTAGATAATAGGTAGGTATCATAATAATTTATTTTAGTAACTAATTATTATAAAATTAACTATAAGGATTTATAATAATTACTTACTATTATTGTTATTATTATTACCTAAAAGATAAACATGTTTAGTAAGTTCACTGCAAATCTCGACTTTTGCAAGTGTGTGTTTTTAAAACACAAAGTGCTCGAATATGTCGTCACACATTTGATAAATATGGTTGACACCATTGCACTTTTAAAACACTTGAAATGTGTAAAAATGGATCTGGATTTTGTCTTCAAGGCTTAGTTATTAAGGAGTTGGAGGGGTGCCCAGGTAAACCCAGAGCCGTCATCTTGGAAGACATTTTAGACTGTTGGAGGACGCATGAGACAAAATATCCGATTTTATCGAAGATGGCCCGTGATTTTCTTTTAATACCTGTAACTTCAGTATCTGCTGAGAGATTATTTTCTAAAGCATCATTAGTAATTAGAAAACATAGAAATAGGTTAAGTGATGAGTCAGCCAGATGGTTACTTTGTATTAATGCTTTGTCAAAAGAATAAATATAAAGTAACAGTAATGTCAAAGCTGTTGTGTACATATTGTGAAGTAATTTAATTTGCAACGTATTTTATTTTTTATTTAAATAAATGGTATATTGTATCACCCTTTTATTCCATTTCATATATGGTGAGGGTCCATCAATCTCTTTCTAAAGAGATAATGTTATTTAAAATACAGTGTAGTTATTGCCATTAATTTATTTTTATATGTATGTTTAACCAGGTTTTAGCACATGTAAGCTTATTAAATGTAAACGTTTATTAAGAAACTGACACTCGGTTGGAGCATCGGCACGGATCGCTTAGGTCGTGGGTTCAAACCCCACCCGGTGTCAGTTGATTTTTCGAATTTCTCATTAAATGTTGATTATACTTTTATTAATATGGTTGGTCTTTACTATGGCTATGTTACTTCAAGCTCAATCTAATATAATCTAGAAGCTAAATCAATAATCTAAAGTAACGTTTAATAAATAGTAATAGGCTAATAGGTCATTGCGAGACATGCGAGACTCTTGCTGCAAGACCAAGACCAAGACCAAGACTCGGAGCGCAATACCAAGACCAAGACCAGGTGTATTGGCGCAAGACCAAGACCAAGACTTGCTAAGTCTCGTCTTGTTCTTGCATTTGGGCAACACTAATGAACATACGTCTCCCCCATAAATTGCATTATAGAGAGGATATTTGCAATAAATGCTACGCTTAGCGACTGGGTTGGCTACCGTAATTTTTTATTTTTAGTCATTACGTCCTAAAAAAATCAAGAAGTGTATGATAAAGGATAATCTCTTATACCGTGATCCGTGACACTGACACACATGCAATCGTACGAGTTTGTACGAAAACAAACAAAGAATGAATATTTATAGTTAGAGGCGTTATGTGTGTTTTTATGGAATATGGGTGACAAGCGAGCACATAGCCCACCTGATGGTAAGTGTATGCTGTGGCCCATAGACATCTACATCAAATCTATATTAAGAACCAAAATAATGTACCCCTGAGAACTCAGACGGAATGCCTCGTATCCAGTAATAAGCTTAATGGTTAAAACTTTAATTTAAAAAATCCGACTGCGTAAAACAGTTTACTGAAAAATGTATAATTATTTTTTACATTAATAAAACCTTAAGACTTAATAAGATTGTAAGTTTTGATTATTTAAGTGAGAATGGTTGATAACCTACTTTAAATCGTTATAGATCTTAAATGGCCTCTAAAAATGAAAAATGATTAGAGAAACCTAAAGATGATTTTCAAAGACCTATTCAATAATACCGCACTTGACTATATTCGTTCTTCGTCGACTTTCATTTTTTTTTCTTGCGTTTGGTTGTCGCCATATTGAATTTTGATTACTGTCATGTCTTTAGTGACGCTCGCAAGATTAAGATAAATCGATTGACGTGAGAATCATCAAAATCAGCCCACGCGTTTGGTCTCTAGAGCGCCACAAAGGAACAAACATACATACTACCCGTGCGGTTAAAGAATGGGATTGAAAAGGGGGTCGCCTTTATTCACCTTTTGCTCGCACACTGTCGCTATCTATACTCACACCCGCCGGTAAAGACTGCAAAAAAAATATATTGCGATATACGTTTTTCGTACGTTCTATAGAAATCATAATTTCAGTCCAATTTGTCACTGGAATCAAAGATAACAAAAAACCATAAGGTACAAAAAAAATTCCGCCCAGTTTTGCAAAGGTGATGTATGAAATTGGGTGCTTGACATCGTTCTTAACAGTTATACAAAAATATGTAGGTCATAAAAAGATAAATTATAAGCATAAATAAATGGCTTTTATTTCTGTAATATGGGACAGTCTCAAAAACATTTTTTAAAACTGAAAAACGAAAACTAATGCTTTTACAATAGCAAAAACGATACGTTTTTAAATATGTTTTTGTAGTTTGTCTATGGCAATAGGTAATGAAGGCTATTTTCATAATAAAATAGCCTTCATTATCAAAGAAATGATAATATTGAAACATTGAGGTGAATCCATAAATATTAATATTGAGTAAGATATATATTTAGAAAATATATTGAAAAGACTATGTTGGTAAACTAAAAAAACATTTGAATATTATCTGACACGATTGAATAGGTTGTATAGTCATCGATCATTGCCTGTTCCGATGGAGACTTAACTTGGTAACTTCAGTTTCAACTTGTCATTGTCATGCGCATTTGGTATTGTGGCTGTGTTTGTGGATAGATTTCGTGTTTTTACTTTTGTGGATTTATTTAACTTGACCCTTGGCCTTTCTCTTGGATTATAGGACAGTAGGTTGTCGCACCCACATAATGACAATAATTTGGTATTGAGATTGGGTAATGAGAGGAATAGAACAAACAATGTACAGCCTCCAGCTGTTTTTCTAGATGACATTTTATAATTAATTATTACAGAAAATAACGAAACAATTATAATAGGTTGACTTTTATTTTACTTTATTTAAGATACCTACGAAACTGTATTATTTTGTGCCTTTTTGAATTTATTCAAATAACTTATCACATGAACGAGTGATTTTACTACATAACCTAGATTTTATTAAAGTAGAAATATTTCATATAAGCAGAGAAGGTTCAGAATAAGTAATATAGGTAAACGGAGAAGAAAAATTAATGTAAAAAAAATCTCAAACATTCTGTCCTTTTTATCTTTTAAATTCGAAATGCGTGGTAATGTATTATTTTAACTGATTTTACTACGCACGCACACATTCGTAAGGGTCGATCGGTAGGCAAAAACGTTGTTGTCCATAAATAACATTCAATTTGGGATAATTTCAATAAAAGTAGAAGCCTTATTTACTAGTATTTTCAAAAACTATTTTATATATAACATTTATAAAAAATATTTCATCTTTAATGATTACCTTAATTCGTTAATTAGATCCAACCCCAGCGAAACCAGAGCGAGTCGCTAGTTTATAATTTTATTTTTAAATTAATGTACCTATGGGAAATTTTTTGAAAATAATTGTATACTCAAATACAATTATTTTCAAAAAAAAACTCCCATTTGTAAAATATTTACAATTAAGAAATAAATATAATGTTATAATGTTATAACGCTATACCGTTATACCGTTATTAGCGGGTTTTCGCTATTGGTACTGTACATGTTGACGGTACGGGTTCGATGAGCTGCCATTTCTAATCCCATTGTTTATCCGTACAGGCTGTATATAGCGCAGTCTGATAGAAAGGGAGGCGTGTGTACGTACGTGGTGCGCGCAGAGCGCCAGGCGCACGCGCAGGTGGTGCGGCGCGGGCAGCGAGCGCAGCGCCAGCGCCACCAGCCCGCCCGCCGACACGCGCTCGCCCGCCGGGTACGCGCGGCTGTCCGCCTCGCCGCTCCTGCACAACCACCACAAACATATTGGTCAAAACGTACGCCAATCGGCGAAGCCACGATAGTAAAATAAAAAATGAGTATACATTTCAATAAATTGATTTAATATGTAAAGACTTACAAAAATGAGCAGTTGGCCATTACAATCGAAGAGAAAAATATATTCATCTATGTAGCAAAGGAAGTAAAAGTTGCCAAATTAAACCACTAATCATAGACAAGTCATAGATAATATTATCAATATTTGATTAAGGCTCGTATCTACTACATAATATTGTGCACATATATTTTTTTTAATGAAAACTTCTTTAAAATCGATGTAATTTCAAAATCGATGAAACAAAAAAGAGACACTAAAAAGAGACAAACCATATACATCTATAAAATTTAGCCTGCGAGAGGATGAGATAGAATACAGTATACTATGGTTTCCTATTATCTGTCTCCTCTTTGTGCGGTGATTTAATATAACTATTTTAATTAATAAAATTAACCATATTGTATAAAACTATCTATAATATCCAATTGATTCATAACAATCCATGATTTAATAACTTACCGATTTATGTTAAATTAATCATGTTTCGGCCATGTTGCGTCTATTTTACATACCACCGTCAGAGTCAATCAATTTTTGTTCGATAAAATGACTTCTTCTATAGAATGAAGTATATGGCGCTATTATAAAGCAATTTTAGTTGCATATGTCGTCTGTGTGCGTCTGATTCGTGTACACTCGTTCGCGTGGAAAACGAGCAAGGCGGTAGACGTGCAGGTCAAGGTGGGCGGCGTAGACGTAGTTAGCAGCGCGCCTACGTTAGTGTGCGTGTGCGTCTGTTCTGTGCACTCACACGTAAGCGTGGAACACGAGCAAGGCAGGGTAGGCGAGCAGGTTGGAGTGCGCGGTGTCGACACAGTGTTCAGCGCTTGCGTTAGTGTGCGTGTGTGTCTGTTCTGTACACTCACACGTAAGCATGGAACACGAGCAAGGCGGGGTAGGCGAGCAGGTTGGAGTGCGCGGTGTCGACACAGTACTCAGCGCTTGCGTTAGTGTGCGTGTGCGTGTTGGTCTGTTCTGTGCACTCACCCGTCAGCGTGGAACACGAGCAAGGCGGGGTAGGCGAGCAGGTTGGAGGACGCGGTGTCGACACAGTGCTCAGCGCTTGCGTTAGTGTGCGTGTGCGTCTGTTTTGTGCACTCACCCGTCAGCGTGGAACACGAGCAAGGCGGGGTAGGCGAGCAGGTTGGAGTGCGCGGTGTCGACACAGTGCTCAGCGCTTGCGTTAGTGTGCGTGTGCGTCTGTTCTGTGCACTCACCCGTCAGCGTGGAACACGAGCAAGGCGGGGTAGGCGTGCAGGTCGAGGTGCGCGGGCAGGTCGTGGCGCGCGGCGTCGAGTCGCGCGGCGCGGGCGCGCAGGCCGCAGCGCGCCAGCAGCCGCGCCGCGCCCGCCAGCGCGCGGATCGCGTGCGCGCCGCACGACCCGCCGCACACCGCCACCAAACTCAACTGTGTCATATTAGAAGGGTGGACTTTAATAACGCTATTTCTTATTCTAACTTAACTCCAATATATAATTATCGTGTGGGCTAACTACACCTCCCATCGACAAAAAATATTTAAATAAAAATGTTTAAAAAAAATATTTATTTATTCAGAGATATTTTTCAAAGAGTATCCAAATTTTTTATTTCAGTTAGAACATATAAATAATGATAAACGTTATTACTGTTTTTGAAAATACAAGTAAATAAGACTTCTACTTTCATTTAAAATCATTCCAAATTTAATGTGATTTATGGGCAACAACTATGCGTACGCGCGCTCCTCTGTGCTCGATTCAATTCACAACGTTTTTGGCGACCGAGTGACCCTTACAAATATGTGCGTGCGTAATAAAATTGTAGGCATTAGATATTTATGAATAATAATCAGAAGTAATGAATTACCACGCTTTCTGAATTTAAAAGATACGACAGGTACGGACAGAACATTTGAGTTCACCACCATTCGCAAATTTGGGTGTATATTGCAAAATAACCCACCACAGTAAAGAGTTCATTCTAAATAAAATCTCACATTCTAATTACGTATAATATATATTTGAACATAACAACTAGTCCACATCCCAACTTTACAACGTATGTATGGAACATTGGTTTAATAACTTTATAACCTTCAACATGGTTCACTTATAAGCCCTATTTTGCTATTAATAGGTTTTAAAAGTAAGGGATGACATATGTTTCTTCCAAAATGTATGAAATTAATTGAGTTCTATTTCACCTCCAAATGACTTCATAAATTAGACTGTACGAAGTGAGGCTTGTTATAATACCAAAAATCAACTTAAAACAACAACTCGGTTTTGTTCATTGAAGAAAAATGTACTACGTACTTGAAGAGACACCAAAACTTGATCGTTTGCAACACGCATTTGAGCCCATAGGCTCAAACTTAGTCTGTGTCATAAAATGATACTCTGTGCCTCCTTCCACGCGCCGCACACTGCCGCACAGATGTGCAGTTCTAGTACGTAGTACATATTACTTCAATGGTTTTGTTTATAAATAATTAGCTGTTCCCCACGACTTCACCCCCGTGTAATTTAGGGTTTTAATTGTTTTGCGCGGAAGCCTAATTATTTTTAGTAGTTTAAGTATCCTAAGTTACTCCTTAAAACATCAGCTATCTGCCAGTGAAAGTAAAGTCAAAATCGGTCCAGACATTTCGGATAGTAGCCGGAACAAACAGACAGACTGACAGAGAGATAGACAGACAAAAATTTTATAAATTGTGTTCGTGTCTTAGGTACCGTTTATATTTTCATATGCATTTAGAAAAAGGCTGTAATTTTGACATTACAAACAGACACTTCAATTTTATTTATTTGTATATATATATGTATGTATAGATACAACTGTATATTTTGATTTCTTACTTTGCTTAATTTGTAAATGACTGATTCACAATAATCCTTACGTTAACTATTGTTATGTTACGAGGAACTGTACGCCTAAATTTTGCATTTATATTAATTATTAAACAATTTGTACGAGGGGTTACTACATCAATTAATACAAATTTATAGAATAGAATAGAATGATTTTTATTCAATATGGATTATTACATAATACTTATTGAGTCATTATTTTATTTACCACTGGTTCGGAAAATACCTCTGTCCTGGGAAGAACCAGCAAGAAACCCAGCGGGACTTTTTTTTAAACATAATTTCACTTAACAATAATTTTGTTTATACAATTTTAAATGAATTTTCATAGAACCAGCATGGTGGCGATCACCTTATTCCCAGGGGTTATTTTCATTCATTATTCCTTGATATTATAATAACCCTTTTTGAACAGTTTTTCTTTAATAAAACTTTTAAACTTGTTTATTGACAAACTTTGAACATGTTCTGGGATTCTGTTGTAAAAGCGTATACATTGCCCCATAACAATAGCATTATTAACGGTATGGTACAAAGGTTTTCTACAATTATTTTAAATCAGCCGGTTTTTCTCTTACTCATTGACTATTTTACCGTATCATCGTCCAATGATAATAAAATACGCGAAAAACAATATTTATAATTGGTTATTGTAAACAGTAATATGACAATTATGTATAATGCTATAGTGCCACCAACTTATCTGTTCAGGTGGACAAAATTAGAATTAGGAACTCTATTTTATACGTGAAATTTCGCTGTCAGGTGAGTGCTTTTGATTTCATTATTATAGGTTAGTCTTGCCAGATATGGAAAATTAAAATCACCAAACAAACTTATGAAACATATTAGCGGGTATATCTTTCACAACAGGAATTCCTGACGTTCAGCCGCTTGAACTCCGAGGTCATAACCACAATTATTCTTATAAAATATAAATAAAATATATAATATTAACATGAAATTTGTTTTATTTCTTAGTTATAATACTTTAACTGTTAAATGGCGAAGAAAACCATCGTGTGGAAACTTGCATGCCTGAGAGTTCTCCAAAATGATCTTAAGTCTGCACTTGGCAAACGTGGCGGACTATGGTCTAAACCCTCTTGTGCTCAGTAGTGAGCCGGCAATGGGTTGAGATGATGATGATAACGAATTGTTATATTCTGTATAATAATTATGTATGACGAACAATTATGAAGGTAGGTAATTTTTTTGTTCATTGTTCTATACTAATATGTTATGAATATGAATTAACCTGTTTCTGCGGTAAATTTCTTAAATGGCAATGGTAAGCTTTCCACTAGCGACTCTGTCAACTGAACAGTAGTGTCTATAGATTTTGTTATTGCTATTTTAAGCTTGACAAAAGTAGCAAACTCTTCCGTCCATTACAACTTTTTTAAAGCGTCCTTTTTATTTTTGTATACATATGGTTATATTATAAATACCAATTCTAATTAAGTATGTAGTTATTTTTAATAGCTATTAAAAATAACTACATACTTAATGGTCTTGCAAGTCAGCTCGAAGGACCATTTAATAATGTAAAGTCTTTTGACTGTACAGGGCCCACCGTGAAACTAAAATCGGTGGTACGTTGTAGAACTCCTTTCCTACTTACTATTCCGACTGGGTAGGTACCACCATGCTACTTATTTAAAAATAAAGTAGTTAAGTAAAGTTGCAGCCTTTATACATCCCACTGCTGGCCACAGGCCTCCTCTCATTTCTGAGAGGGTTTTAGACAGGTCTCGGAAACCGGTTCAAATTCTAAACCGGTTTCGGTAAATGACTCCAAAACCGTCTTATGCGGAATACCGGTTTTTCACAAATTTCGGTTTAGGTAGTAAGAATTAACCGGTTAAAACCAAGTTTTGTAATGTCCCCCTCTCCCTTACCCCGCTTGCACCCATCTTTGTACGGCTGCCCTCTGTTTAATTCCCGAGGTTTTTAGACACATGAACGATATATTCATTGCATCAACCCGATTGCTTTGTAACGTACTCCCTCATATTTTTTCATGTTTCAGCAACGATTGTATTACAAATAACAGATGTAAGTTCTGCTTCAATTAATTATGCGTTATCTTCACTTTAAAATTAATTTAAAATTAATTTCGATATCAAGTTTAATTTGACGTTATATATTTAAATTGACTTTAATTATATTTAACATTTTCTATTAAAATTACGCTATGCATCTTTATTTCAATGTCATTAGTTTTAGTAATATATCGCAATAAATGATGAACTTTCTTAACAGAACACAATATTTTTAAAGTTTATGAAATTATATGTTATAGTATTTTGTTCTTTTTAGAACTAAAGTGAGGCGGATTACCAGATTTTTTTAAATTCACAAGCTCGTTATGAGGACCAACCTCTATCTCCGTCTTTGCAAAAATCAATAATACCACTTCTGAGGTGTAAAGTTTAACTAGAAGTCATGTCTAAACACGATAAAAAATTGTTTGTTATGTTCAGAGAAGTCTAACAAAAGAAATTACCATTTTTCACATCTCATTAATGAGGAATTGGAGCAAATCTTATCATGTTGTATACGTACAAGATGCTACTAAAAATATTAGCTTTTCTAAATATAGTACAAGGTAACCACATAGACGAAATTAAATTTACTGATAGTGAAATCAATAAAGAAAAATAATTTGAATCTAACAAATCATTATGATTAAATTCGGCTATACTTTGCTTTCGACTGTAACCAAATACATACACTAAAAAATCCTGTCTTTTATTTAAAGTAATTATTAATAACTCCCAATTAACTAGATTATCAGTATAAATCACACTGATATGTACGATCTTGTATTGAATTATAAAAGAGAATTTTTAAAAGTGCAGCCAAATTTTCTGACGCCTCATAGATCAAAATAATATAGTAATCACTTTCGAATTTTATACAAACTTTCATACTTTACAAATATGAAACTATTCAAATAAATAAAATTGAAGTGACTGTTCGTAACGTCAAAATAACAGATTTTTACTAAATACATACTTATCATGAAAGTATATAATATAAAAAAATTAAAATTTTGTCTGTCTGTATGTGGTTACTAGCGCGACTGTGGATCATGATTTCGTCCTGGGTTTAAATTGTGTCCCGGGTCGTGCCAAGTACCGTTATTGGGTTAATTTGGGTAAAATGAGTGTTCTAGAAACCACCCTGGTAGTCGTATTCAGCCCTCAATCAAGCACTTAGATTTTTGGGTTTTCTCGTCGTACGTTTTCTTATAGAAAAGGGGGCAAACGAGCGTGCGGGTCACTTAATGGTAAGTGACTACTGCCGCCCATGAACAACCGCAACACCAGGGGAATTGCGGGTGCGTTGCCGACCTTTTAGAAAGGAGTAAGCTCTTTTTTTGAAGGTCCCTAAATCGTATCGGTCCGGACAAATCACCGGTGCTTAACAATTCCACAGAGAAGTTGTACGAGGAAGAAAACTCCTAGTAAAACGCAAGGTGGTGGCCCGTCAAGCATCCAGATGGTGAGGATGGTATCGTGAATTTTGACGGGATGTGGGTCCATGATATATGGCAGCTGAGATTAAACCAAACCTCAGAGTACTCCCCAAAGTAAATGCGATGAAAAATGCAAATGGATGCAACATCTCTACGCAGTGCCAGTCGATCGAGCCGATCAGAAAGAATTCGGATGTCGACGACTCGAACCGCTCTGCGCTGGAGGCGGTCAAGTAGAAGGAGCTGATACTGGCGTGCCCTGGCCCAGAGATGAGAGTAAAGTTGCAAGCGATGTGCCGACATGAAATACTGCCCCGCTCTGCTGAGCACGCCAAGCTTTTTATTGGCCAATTTGGCATTCCCTTCCAAGTGACCCCAAAACTGCACACTATTCGATATGTCGACGCCGAGGATTCCGATGCTAGCTGAGGCAGCCAGGGGAGTGCCTTGAAACTGAGGAGATACGACAAAGGGGTTCTTTTTAGCGGTATACGTGCAAACTTGTGTCTTCTGGGGATTGAACTGGACTAGATTTAGCCGCCTTCAATCCTAGACTTTGTTCAGCAAAAAATCGACATCAGACACAAGTTTGTTCCGATACTCGGAGACGTTTTCCCGAGAAATATTGGCACGGCCGGTGTATAATGCATCACCAGTGCTGTCATTGTTACCAGTTTGCAACATATCATTGATATACAGTAGAAACAGCGTTGGTGATAGCACGCAGCTTTGTGGAACACCACCGTTAATAGGCTTGTAATCAGAGCGTGCACCGTCTACTACGACCTTGATGCTCCTATCAGCAAGGAATCTGGTGATCCAACTGCACAATTTCTCGGGAAGCCTATAGGAAGGGAGCTTCGAAAGAAGCGCTTTGTGCCAGACCCGATCGAAGGCCTTCGCTATGACCAAACTAACGGCCAATGCCTACCCCTTGGACTCTACTGCCTCCACCCATCTATGAGTTAGATAGACCAGAAGATCACCAGCTGATGAACCTCGACGAAAACTGTTTATAATGGATTCCATTATTTTGAAGAACAAGGAGGTGATGGCGATAGGCCTGTAGTTTGACCGGTCTGAGCGGTCGCCTTTTTTAAGGATCGGGTGAACTAAAGCTGTCTTCCATGAATTTGGGATAACGCCTTAGGAGTAGAAGTACCGGAAAACACGCATTAAAACCGGTGCCAACTTCGGAGCACACTTCTTCACCTCATTGGAAGGGACACCATCAGGCCCACTCGACTTGTTGACGACCAGGGAGAGGAGTGCTTTGTGAACCGAGCGCTGTGTAAGCCGCACATCTGGCATGGGGCACTCAAACCGCAGGATGGTCGGCGGTGTGTTCCTCCGTCATCGAGAGTCGAGTTGGATGCAAAAAGAGAGATTAACAGATCGGCTTTCTCCTTTGCGGCATGGACTCAGTGAGTCGCCCTCTCTTTGTAGAGATGGCTGACAGAAGTTCCCTTGGACAGCCTTAGCAAAAGACCAGAATGCACGGGTTATCGAAGGAAGGCGAACTAGCCTCTCACCAACTCCCCTCCGATGGGCACCACAGAAGATGGAATAAAAAGTTTCATATCCTGAAGTACCATATCAGCGACAGAATCAGCAACATAGCTGGGATTGTTCAGCGAGAAGCAAATACGCCCTCAAGGGTAGAATGAAAAAAAGACCGCATCTTTTCCCAATCAGCCGATCTATAGTGCCAAACACGGCGGCAGCCCGCAGAATGCAACCGCGAAGATAGTGTGAGTGACACTACCCTCCGGATAAGACAATGGCCCTAGGAGACGTGAGGGGTGTCGACGGAAATCTGATAAGAGGTCAGCAGAAGTTCCAACAGGGAAGGCGCATGATCCTCCACATCTGGAATCCGCGTAGGCAAAGTAACCAGCTGTGCCATCATATGCCAAGGCATAGTCATACACAAATTTCCCCACATGATCGGTTAAATGTAAACCGAGCCATTCGGTGTGATGGTCATTAAAATCGCCAAGGATCACGATCTCTGCGGATCCCCCCCCCCCCCCCCCGCCAGTATACTAGAATACGCGGGGCAGCTTGAGCATTGAGCACACACGCTCAGGAACAGTAGGGTAGCTTGTGTGTGGGTGCTCAGCGAAGGATTCTCCGTCACCAGGATTCTGGTACGATCCTGGGGTAGTTTTTTCCGCTAACATACTTTAAGGGGGGGGGGGGGGATTGGGCCCTGGTATTCTGTGAGGTCGTGGTACTACCCTGGTTCGAGCTGGCCCATCCATGCGATAGCAAAAGCTGCCGCGTGGCTCTACCACTGTTAAAAAGTAATCATGGAATAAATTCTATTTAGTTTTTTTCTGCCCATCATAAATAAACAACCGATACAAAAGAATAAATTATTTTCTTCGTTATGAGACATGTCCAGTCTTAACGAATAAACCAAACACAATAACTGCCTTTCTTTCTTCAAAACTTCTCTAATACTTTCATGTTTTTCGTAAACGCCAAACTCCGTACGTATCGCTTAAAGGCAGATAATTGATAATAAGTATGACCGCATGCGGCGATGCCGCATAAGCACCTCGCAACGTGAATCTACCTGTCCTATTCATAACTGCCTTTACGTTTTACGGAATTAACCGGTTAATTTGGGTGTTAAAACCATTAAGTAACCGGTAACCTTTATCATTTGTTTTCTTCCTCGCACGACCTCCTTGTGGAATCGATTACCATCAGCGATTTTTCCGGACCGATACGACTTAGGGACCTTCAAGAAAAGAGCGTACTCCTTTTTAAAAGGCCGGCAACGCATCTGCGATTCCCCTGGTGTTGCAGTTGTTCATGGGCGGCGGTAGTCACTTACCATCAGGTGAGCCGCATGCTCGTTTGCCCCCCTCCTATAAAAAAAAAATCATTTTGGGTTAATAAACACCTTTTCATTTTTAACCGGTAATTGAAGGAGCGATAAATTTACCGGTAATTAATCGAAATTAACCGCTCTTTTTAAACCGGTTCCGAACCCTGGTTTTAGGGCAAGGAAATGTCCGCCGCGCCGCCCCAATGCGTGTTGGCGAACTTCACATGTCTTCGAAATATTTTTTTCTTATTTCTCAGACATGCAGGTTTCCTCACGATGTTTTCCTTCATCGCCGAGCACGTGGTAAATCAGCACTTAAAATTGCAATTAACAATTTCATCGGTGCCGGCGGGGATCGAACCCGGGTTGCTCGAGTACTGTGAAGCTTACAGCGAGCGCTAACCATCTGAGCTACCACGGCTCCCTTCCTGCTACTTATTTATGCCACCAAATAGCAGTGCTAGCATTAGTATAATTACAGGCTGAGAGACATTTCATCTTAGTCCTCAGAGATGACAACGCATCAGTAGCCTTCTTTGTTTGAAATTGGCTAAACGTGTCCATGGACTGCAGTAGCCACTTACCATCAGGTGTACTGTACGTTCGTTCGTCACTTCAATTTCATATTTAAACAAAACATGGTATTACAAAATAGCAAACTTACAGTTCCCGGTGTCCTAACAAACCTCCTAAAGGTGTGTGTTGTTAAATCAGTTATATTAATAATATTCTCGCTTTCCCCACTTGTAGTATTCGAGCCATAGTAATGCGTATGGGCGGCGTCAGCCACGTGCGTACGCAGCGACCTCTTCAAATTATTATATGTGAAATTGTAAATAAAATCCCTCACTGACTTAGCGCTATAGTCTTCAGAAAGGACGTACTGACTTCCTTGCTGAAAAAAATATAAATAAATTATTTCAAATTTATGTTTTCTTTTTTACATATTACTCGAAGATTAGGCAGTGTTGTTTAAATTTAAACTTTGAAATGTCAAAGAATATTTTAAACCTTCAACCGCTAACGCCGTAATACAATAGCCCGCTCTAGTAAGACGAATCTAAAATGGCGGCTATATAAATTTTTTTTTAATTAATCTATGAGGAGGACCTATGATTAACAATGGACTTTGATGAGTTGTAATAAATGTTAAAATAATTTTAACGAACATTTGGCAGACGTAATTTCGGCGGAGACAATAGTTTTCTTTTCAAAAGAAGCTACCAGAAGAGCATGTCTTACGCAATAGCATGAAATAAGTATTTTACGGGGATATGGGTCCGATTTCGACTGAATCAGAGGCATATCTAACGTGCCACTTCCAATACCCGTCAAGAAAGCTTTCATATTCAGTCATCACATCAATAATAATTTTTTTTAAGTCATTGCAATATGCTAACAAATTTTCACATCCATCATGGTATTAAACAAATGTGTAAACTTTGTAAGAGTAACTCAATTCTTTTAGCATGCCCCTTGTATAGCTAACTTTAACGGATTTTATCGCGTTTTTTTTGTTCTGTTTCTCTTATGACACCCACGAGAGAAGAGGAATTTTCTTACACCGACCCAACATGGCTAATTGTTAATAAATAAAAAAAAATATTTTATAATTTTTATTCATTTTAAATAAATAAAAAGTCTTCCGGCTTGAAAATGTAGTCAGAAATAACAAAAACAAATTAAGAAAACACAAACCTTACTATCTAATATAACAACAGCAGTCATATCCTTCTTCTTAGTGATGTCGATACCAAGGGCCTCAGGGAAGTGATGATTCTGTACGCTATCAACTGCTATCATATAAAGGCTAGAGTTGCCCACGCAGGAAAGACCATGAATATGTGTAATGTTGCCATTTGTAACTTTTGCCGGGTATATTGGCGGACCTAGTTGTTTCGCGAATTGCATTAACCGACAGAAGTGTTTTATATTCTCTTGTATAAGATTATCTGGGGATAACGGATCACCTTCGTATGGCAACATTGATGTTTCAATGCTATAACAAAGTTAATATTATTTCAATTTATTATTTCCTAGTCTATAAAAGTCTGTATTCTGACATTACATTACTTAAAGCAATCTTAAAATTATCACAATTAATTCCTAGTTACTAAGAAAAGCAAGCAATTTTTAAGGAAAGGGAAACAGAATTTTGGATAAAACAATAAATAAATAGTAGCGAATTTTTGAGTCAGAACTAAAAAGTTAACACTTTGTTATATCAAAAACTAAATTGAGTTAATATGGTTAAATTTTATTAATAATTTCACATCACATCTAAATAAAATAAAATTTTAATTCAATATTATTAAAAGAAAAAAATATCAATTTAAAATAAGTGTTTTAAGCAAATGTATAAGCACGCACTCATTTTCTCTTTACCTAATGATGATAACAGTCGACATTATCATAATAAATTACAGTAACAACATCAGAAGTGCCCTTGTAAATTATAATATTGTAACAGACTACTTCTGACTCCCATTGCCACACCTAAACATAAAATTTATAGATTACTAACTGATACCCCGGCGTGTAGCTGCCGCAGAAGAAATAATTGTGGAAATATCGTTTTAAATTTGGAAGAGTTATATTGTTTAATTAGTAATGATAATACATACATTGAAGTTGAATGTAATATAACTTTCAAATAAATTTGTCGGTACGATACGCGCGTCACCTAGTGTAAGTTAATTGTACTATGCCTATAATCTTCACGCAAGTCCTAGAAATAAGTTAACAAAATTTTACCGCAATTCGATGAACGATATTGCAGTGCTAACATATTAACAAACAAAAATTAATTTTTATATATTAGAATAACCAAAAAAAAAAACGCCTAAACTCACTAAGTTTCTAATTCTATATAGCAGATATTTCGTACCTTAGGTATTTAAAAATGTGATAAAATCGTATGATATCAAACAGACGATGAAATAACTACCTCATAAATTGCCAGAACTAAATATTCCAGACGCTTGACAGAAAGCGGCGTTTTTATCAGCCAGGGTGATTGCAGTAAATCCACCCAACAGGGCTCAGTTATTCTGACAATCTTATTTGCAAAATGTTCTCTTAATCATTTTTTTTTATTGAAAATGTTAATTTTTATAGGAGAGGGGGCAAACGAGCATACGGCTCACCTGATGGTTAGTGACTACCACCGCCCATGTACAACTGCAACACCAAGGGAATTGCAGATGCGTTGCCGGCCTTTTAAAAAGGAGTAAGAGTAGTGTAGTTGTACCACTTCTAGACCACCTGAGTCAGACGTGGTTCAACGACGTTCGTCGACGCCCGATCCTAAAAAAAAAAAAAAAAAAAAAAGTTTTGGCATGCTCTGATCACGAATCCGCGGTCCATTTTTGTGTAGAATGCACGGTTCCGGAGATGTGTAGATCAATTAGCTAATATCTAATTGATATCCGGTAAGGGCCTCCACCGTCATTAGCGTCCCATTGTTCCTATTTCTATTGTTCTATTGTTCCTTAATCACCTTCATTGCAGCGTGTGCGTCGACTATATCAGTGCTATTGTATTATAATTCTTTGTTTATACAACGCTAATCTGAATCATCAATAAAACACATTACATAATTTTGTTACAATTTTTATTTATAAAATACAAAATCTTATTAATTATTATCTATAAAATAGGAGCGAAACATCTCATCCACTAAAATATCGTTGTACAATGTGTTCCTTGTAAATATACTCGTAAAACTATGTATTGAACATCCTTGAAACTTATATAGTAAATACATTAAGCAATATTCGCCACAAACTGAAGTCCACTCATTCTGAATCCTATCAACATTCCAGTTCCATCTTTTACAATTCCTTTTTAAAAACTCTAGATGATATCGTACAGGTGATCGTCCATATGAATCAAAATATTGACCGACGTCATTCGTATCGATATATAAAGCTACCCAATGTGACCCTGGTTTATCATCTGTATCCAAATTACATATTATATACGTTGGTACGTGGGTATACATAGGCAGTCTATTAGCTGCATAAACATTATTTTCTAGACTGGGGTGAATCTTTTTCAGATGTTGTTGTACATCTAGTGTATCCATGATATTACTGCTATTAGTAGATTATTACAGTACCTAGCTACTCAATGAATAACATAGGAATGGTCAATTATAGTGATTTCTACATATTAAATTGCATTTTTGTGATATACAAATCGTACTTGAGTCATTGATCACCAAACAAAACACAATACGAAGAAATGTTGAGATAGGCAACGGAAATGTGAGATAAACTGATATGTTTCTAAATATTAAATTCCATTTTTGTGTTATACAAATCGTACTTGAGTCATTGATCACCAAACAAAACACAATACGAAGAAATGTTGAGATAGGCAACGGAAATGTGAGATAAACTGGTTGACGCATAAAGTAATTATCAACTCATTACGGAAATACTTTAGATTAGAATTTTTACGTACTGGTGGTATATAAGACCAACAAACGCAGTCATCGAGTTAGTGTACGGTCGTTTGGCTACAGTGGATCTATCAATAGTAGATTTGTGTTACTTCAATACACCAAAGGCTATGGATGTAAGTGTTTATTCTATTGACTAAATTACTTTTTTTCTGTTATTTTCATGTGTGTGTATTATTTTATTTAAATATTGTGTATGTATATGATTAAGCCGTGGTAACTCAGATGGTTAGCGCTAGCTGTAAATTTCACAGTACGCGACCCGGGTTCGATCCCCGCCAGCACCAATTAAATTGTTAATAGCAATTTTAAGTGCTTATTACCACGTGTTCTGTTATTTTCATGTGTGTGTATTATTTTATTTAAATATTGTGTATGTATATGATTAAGCCGTGGTAACTCAGATGGTTAGCGCTAGCTGTAAATTTCACAGTACGCGACCCGGGTTCGATCCCCGCCAGCACCAATTAAATTGTTAATAGCAATTTTAAGTGCTTATTACCACGTGCTTGGTGGTGAAGGAAAACATCGTGAGGAAACCTGCATGTCTGAGAAAATTTCGAAGGCATGTGAAGTTCGCCAACACACATTGAGGGAGCGCGGCGGACATTTCCTTGCTCTAAAACCCTCTCAGAAATGAGAAGAGGCCTATGTTCAGCAGTGGACTTTAATAGGCTGTAACTTTAACTTTTTTAACTTTTATGATTAAGTGTTAACAAATTGATATTAACATGATAACTGTGTTGTTGCAGAAATCATTGAGCTTCGATGAAGATACCTATAAACAGTATTACTACTCGCCACTCTCCCCTCAAGAAGAGAGTGATAACCTCGTCATTAATAATAACACATGCGATGGTGGAAAAAGAAAATCGCAATCGATTGATCATTTTTTTGAAGCTGAATCAAAAATAAAAAAGAGGAAGCTGTTATCATCAACCGTAGCACGAGCCGCTAGAGATGGTGTATCATACATTTCTACTAATTCTGACGACGGAGACCAAGCGGCGCATCTCATCAAAATTGAAATGTACGATATGAAGAAGCTATCCAAGATTCCAACTACTGATCATTGGAAACATGCTTCCACGAGAATTAAATATTACGTAAAGACTAATAAGGATAGCATCTACGACAATACAAACGCCCTCGTATACAATATAACAAAGACAATAGCAGAAAGTGAAAAAGTTAAAAAATACTTTTTTAACAATGACAGTCATTAGCTGATCATTAGTGAATGTGATTCTGTTTACTTCAATTACAGGAAGACAAGAGCGGAAGGAAGAGATGAGTGTGGAATACGTGTACAAAACACATCATTGAATAACAAAACTACAACACTGAGTGGAGAAGAAAACGAGAAGAGTATGCAGTACTCAAGAGCTGAATATCCATTCTTCAGTTCAAAATCTAGCCGTTTGCTTAGTTTCGAAAACTGGCCTCTAGTTATGCGACAGAAACCTGAAGATCTTGCCGAAGCTGGTTTCTTTTATACTGGCCATGCAGACGGGACCAAGTGTTTCCATTGTGGTGGTGGTTTAAAAGATTGGGAAGATGATGATGATCCTTGGCAGCAGCATGTTCAGTGGTTTAGTCAGTGTGCTTATGTAAAATTTCAACTCGAACAGTGTTTTGTATTAGATTAAATAGAAGATTTATAAAGAAATAAAAAAAATATATTGCATACAATTTGTTTTATTTAATTTTATAACGTTTCACATAGTTACATACACACAAAATGCATTACACATAACACATAAAATCTAACACACAACACATATTATAACCTTAACTACTATAGTCTACAGTAACATTTCTGTTTTTATCTATCTCAATAATATTATCAAACTCAGCATAAACTATACAGTTAATTGTTTGTATTAATGAGGATTCAAATCGTACTTCTATTCTTACACTACCATGCTTTATGAGATTCCAATGAGTTGATGAGTTAGCTGATAAATCAGGAGTTAAGTCAAATGCTAATAGACAGTAACCTTTGCCATACTGTTCACAAGAGATTCCATTTCCTTCATTAAGAAAGTGAATACCAGTTCCCGAGAATAGAGTATGATATGCTGATGTAAATATGCTATTATTAAAAGATGGTTGCAAAGCTTTTGAAGGTATTTGTTGACCATCAATATATAAGCTGAAAGAATTAATACCATAGTTTTCAAAGTTAAATGGATTTTTAGTAAGGGAACCATTAAATGCAGAATTGTTCACAAATCCAATTATACATCTTTTCGGTACCTGTCCTAAAAATATATTATCAAGAGTTTTTCCTTGAACACCCGAAGGAATTGTTAAAACTTTTACTTCAGCTCGAGTAATAGGATATTTAGCAGTGGTAGAAGCTAAAACTTTTTGATGTGCGAGTAATACACTTGGATTAATTCGTGCTCGTCGAACAATAAGAGTTGCGTCCGTAATACAAACTTTAAACTTTACATCGTTTGATCCAACAATTAAATTAAAACTCTCTCTTGATCGAACCAATTTAACACTCATTTCAACACCATTAATTA